TTCGGAAGCTTTCCTCACTGTATAACTTACAGTTGAGTCACAAGGATGTGGACGTGCGTGTGGAGCGCCACCTTTGATTTGAGCTTGTCAAAGTCAAGGCACGCCGTCGACTTCCTTCGGATTGTCGCTCTGCGACCTTTGGGTTAACCCCTAACGCTCCCGCGAGCTCTGTGCCTGCAACCGCAAAAGCTCAGGGCAACTGCTTGAGCTCAGCTCACGGCCCCTCTACTTCCCTGGCTATTGCCGGGAAGCGCGAGGCGTCTGATGATGCGGGACGTCTGATCTTTCCGATCAAAAGCGTCCACGGCGACTGGGCAATCTTGCCGAAGTGGCGCCTTAAACTACCAGGAATTTTCGGAGTAGGGAATCACCAGATATTAGGTTTGACCCTGGTGACGATGTCGTCTCACTAGACGTTCCACGTGATATTAGACGTCGCCGTTTTCATCGAGAAGAGTCGGTGGCGGGCGGTGACGACTGGGGCGACCGCCGTTCGGTGACTCGTGATGCTCTTCGAGCCTTTGAGGACGAGGTATATCGTGATCGGAGCTCCGCTGAGCGTCATGCTGAAGTAGCATATCGCTGTGCGGACCCTCTTGACGATTCGAAGCACGTCGTGCGCCGGCTGCCTCACCTTGAGAACTACCACGCTCTGCCGAAGCGACGAGCGACTCCTAGCCGTGGAGCAGGCGAATGCATCGCTGCATGCGACGGTGGAGCTCGTGGCGCCATTAGAAATGGAGGTTGTTGCACTCCGTGCTCAGAACTAGTTGCTGGTTCAACTTCTGGGCTTGCACAAACCCACGTAACACACCGGGTGGGTGCGTATCCGTTTTGGAAGGTTCAGCGTATACTCTAAGCCCCGCTTGACCACAACCTTAAACGGTCCGATAAACCGTGGACAAAGGTTCGTCCTAAAGATAGCAGAGGCTGTATGTGTAAGCAGATTTTTAAAATTTAATAAAACCAGGTCCCCGACCTTAAAGCTTTCTACTTTGCCTCTTCCTTTTTCATCTGCATATTCT